ACAAGAAATAGAAGAGAACACACAAAAAATGGAAAGATACGGCATGTTCATGGACTGGAAGAATCAACATTGTGAAAATGTTTGTATTACCCAAAGCAATCTACAGATTCAGTGCAATTCCTATGAAAATACCAATGACACCCTTCACAGAAACGGAAAAAATAATTCTAAAATTTATATGGAACCAAAATAGCCACAAGACCCAGAATAGGCAAAATTATCCTTTTGAAAAACTAGAGGAATCACATTTTCTGACTTCAGATTATACTACAGAGCTATGCTAACCCAAACAGCATAGTACTGGCATGAAAACAGACACAGACCGATGGAACAGAATAGAGAACCTAGAAATAAATTAATGCATCCGCAGTGAACACATTTTCGACAAAGGTACCAGGAGCATATACTGAGGAAAGGACAGTCTCTTCACTAAATGGTGCTGGGAAAACTGGTTATCCATAGGCAAAAGAATGAAACTAGACTCCTGTCTCTTGCCATATACAAACATGAAATCAAAATGGATTAAAAACTTAAATCTAAGACCTCAAAGTATGAAACTACTAAAAGAAAACACTGGGGAAACATTGCAGGACGTTGGACAGGGCAAAGGTTTCTTGAGTAATTCCCACAAGCACAGGCAATGAAAGCAAAAGGCGGACAGATGATTAAAGTTCCTGCACAGCAAAGGAAACCACAGGGTAAGGAGACAGCCTACAGAATGTGAGAAAATATTTGCACACTGTTCCTCTGATGAGTGATTATAAATTGGGAGCTCAAATAATCCAAAAGGGAAAAATCTAATCATCCAATTAAAAAATAGGCAAAAGATCTGAATAAACATTTCTCAAAAAAAAAGACATACATATGGCAAGTAGCTATATGAAAAAGTGCTCAATATCATTGATCATCAGAGAAATGCAAATAAAGACTACAATGAGATACTGTCTTACCCCAGTTACAATGACTTTCATCCAAAAGACAGGCAATAGCAAATGCTGGCGAGGATGTGGAGAAAAGGGAACCCTCGTACACCATTGATGGGAGTGTAAATTAGCACAGCCACTATGGAGAACAGTTTGGAGGTTCCTCAAAAAACTAAAAATATAACTACCATGTGGTCCAGAAATCCCACTGCTAGCTAGGTATGTACCAAAAAGAAAGGAAATCAGTATATCGAGGAGATGTCTGCACTCCCGTGTTTACTGCAGCACTGTTCACAATAGCCAAGATTTGAAAGCAGCCTAAGTGTCCATCAACAGACAAATGGATGTGGTACATGTACACAATGGAGTACTCTTTAGCCATAAAAAATAATGATATCCTGTCATTTGCAACAACAACAGATGGAACTGGAGGGCACTTATGTTAAGTGAAATAAGCCAAGCACAGAAAGACAGACTTCACACCCGCTCACTTACTGTGGGAGCTGAAAAAAAAGAAAAGTTGAACTCACGGAGATAGGCAGTAGATGGATGGCTACGTGGGGCTAGGGGGATGGTTAATAGGTACAAAAATATAGTTAGAACAGACCAGATGGAGTATTTGATAGCAGAACAGGGTGGCAACTGTTAATAATTTGCTGTTCATTTAAAAATAACTAAGAATATATTTGGATTGTTCGTAACACAGAGAAAGGATAAATGGTTGAGGCAATAGAGACCCCATTTACTCTGTGATTATTCTGTGCCTGTATGCCCCATAAATACATATACCTACCAAGTACCCACAAAAAATTAAAAAAGAATGTTGATGTATTTCTTTTGTGAAATGCAAGTTCATAGCCTTTTTTATGTCAGGAAGTTTTTTCTACTGATTTACAAAAACTCCATATTATGGATATCATTTTCATTTGCTGATTATTACCAGGTCATAACTTTATGTCTTGTCAGGTTGTTCACGTCCTGCCTAGTCTGATATTGAGGTTTTCTCCAAGAACATTTATATGCGATGCATATTGATAGTGACACATGCTTATGGTATTCTAGAGTTACAGTGGACTAGACTTCCCTAAACCGTTCAAATGCTGGACATCACACAGTTGCTACTTTTTAAAAAGTTTCCTAGGGCTGCCGGGTGCCGTGGCTCACGCCTGTAATCCCAGCACTTTGGGAAGCCGAGGCGGGTGGATCACAAGGGCAAGAGATCGAGACCATCCTGGTCAACATGGTGAAACCCCCGTGTCTACTAAAAATACAAAAAATTAGCTGGGCATGGTGGCACGTGCCTGTAATCCCAGCTACTCAGGAGGCTGAGGCAGGAGAATTGCCTGAACCCAGGAGGCGGAGGTTGCAGTGAGCTGAGACCGCGCCATTGCACTCCAGCCTGGGTAACAAGAGTGAAACTCCGTCTCAAAAAAATAAAATAAAAAATAAAATTTCCTGCGGCTTACTGTGCCTAAGTAGTAAGCAGTTATATAAATGTCCACTTAAGTTAATTGCTGATGAACATATAAAAACTAAATTTCACTGTCTTTTTAGTTTGAGATTGTTCTTAATTTTTAGTGATCCATGATAACCATTTTTGTTTTCTGCTTGGTGTGAATACGTGAATGAAATAGTAATTTATTATATATATGTGAGGTAGGTTTTAAGAAAGTGTTCATAGCCATTGGCACTTGCCTTTTGTTCATGGTTCTGCTGACCATGTTTCTTTCTCTAGGTCATAACTCCATGTAGGAAGCTCATCCTGTGTGCCGATAACAGAAAAGAAATGGAAGATTGGATCGCAGCATTAAAGACTGTGCAGAACAGGGAGCACTTTGAGGTTAAAAAAGAAAAACCTTCTCCAAATGCCTCCTGTTGCCTCCCTCACCCCATGTCTGCTGTCTGAGTGTCCCCCACATGCGGATCCGCAGTCTGGAGCTCACATTCTCAGCATGTTCCTTGTACAATTAAAACTTGTTGCCTGTCCTCTGGGAAGACCTGTCCTTTATAAACCTTCCCCCTCTTCTCTCTTGGAGGCTCTCTTGGATACTTTGTTTAATCTTGTCCAAGTTACAATTTAAAAGAGAAGTCTTATCTTTGCCGTCTTGGTTTCATTCTTCCAGCCCACCCAGTACAGCATGGACCATTTCTCAGGGATGCACAATTGGTACGCCTGCTCCCACGCGAGGCCGACCTACTGCAACGTGTGCCGTGAGGCTCTGTCTGGGGTCACGTCGCATGGGCTGTCCTGTGAGGGTATGGATGTGCATTTGTTGTTCTGTCAGGAAAGGTGGCCTGGCATTTTACTTGATAAAGCTTTGGAAATCCAAACCCAGTCACCGTAAAGAAGCCATTGCCACCCATGAGGTCCAAGGGCACAGTAGTTTCTATGATTCTATTCTTGTTTATTTTTCCTGCTGAAGAGTCCTTCATCAGTCATTTTTTATAGTGCTCAAACAGAGTGAAAAGAAGGGAAGCTGTGGGTGGCAAAAGGAGAAACAGAGGAAGCCTAGAGCACACAGAGGGAAAGGCACTGCAGGAACAGCTGCCGGCCCCAGCGTTTCACACTCCGCAGTCGGGTGCATGGGGCCATGCGTATATGGACTGAAAGTGCATTACAGACCCAGAGGCCAGGACTGCAGAGTTTGGGCAAGGGCGTCCAGTCTGGTGGCAAGAGCAGTGGGCTGGAGCAGGCTCGTTAGCTGTAGCCTGGACCACACCCTGCCTCTGCCTGTTTTTGCACAGCTCTCACGCTTCAGACTGGCTTTTACATTTTTAAATGATTGGAAAACATCAAAAGAAGAATTTCCTATTTTGTGACACGTGAAAATTACATGAAATTCAAATTTGTATCCTTAAAAAAGTATTGTCTCTGGCTGCTTTTGTGCTACACGCAGAGTTGAGTAGTTGTGATGGAGGCTGGATGCCACCTGCAAGGCCTCCACTGCTCACTCTCTGGCCTGTGACAGAAAGCTGACCGATCCCCAGCTCTCCCTGATGTGTGGTCTCACATCCGCCTCCGGTCCCACCGCCCCCAGCCTCTAAGCGTATCACAGTAGCTCAGTTATAAAATGAGAGTGCCGCTGGTACCTTCCTTGACTTTTCTGGAGCTGGGCAGTTCTCACAGCACTGCTCAGCATGGGAAGTTCCTGGCACACACACAGCTTATAGGCTCATGTGTCCCTTCTCTCTCAGTGTGCAAATTTAAGGCCCACAAGCGCTGTGCTGTGCGTGCAACCAATAACTGCAAGTGGACCACGCTCGCCTCTATCGGGAAGGACATCATTGAGGATGCAGATGGGGTATGTTAAGAAATACCACCTGTGGGGCCCTGAGCCACGGCGGCCCACCTGCGTTGTCCCTTGCAAGCCTCCTCCCCGCCTTCCCCAGCACTGTTTCATTGGAGACGGTCACACTGGTATTGGGTGTCACAGTGGAAAGTATATGCGGTCTCCGTGTGGTCGCCGCACCCCCGAGCTCCATCCTGTCCCTGTGAGTCTTGTTTGCACCTCTTACAGGTGCTGTGGGTAGATGGCCCTTCACAGGCCCTGCCATCCCTCCCCTCACCGGCGTCAGGGAAAGGGCTTGTGCTGGGAAGAATGCCGTGGCTGAGTTACAAAGAGCGTTTCCGTCTAAGGGCTCCTGGCTGCCCTTGATGTGGAGCCTTGGGAGCACCCCTAGTGTGTGCCTCTGTTTGGTCGCAGATCTCGATGCCTCACCAGTGGTTGGAAGGAAACCTGCCTGTGAGTGCCAAGTGCACCGTGTGCGACAAGACGTGTGGCAGCGTGCTGCGCCTGCAGGACTGGCGCTGCCTCTGGTGCAAGGCCATGGTGAGTGTGGGCCCTGCGCCGGGCTGGAGGGGAGGGCCTGCTCCCTACAGTGCCCATATGGGTCTCGTGCCTCCACACGATCTGCTGGATCCTGGTAAATTCATCCCAGAGGCCCCTCCGGCTCTGAGAGTGGGTGTTTTGACCTGTTTGGTCATTTTCCTTCTTAGTTGTTTTTTTTTTGGGGGGGGGGGTGTTTCTTCCTTTTGAGTTTAGTCCTGCCTTTTCAACACATGTAAGTGTGTGTCATTGGGACAGATGTACCCTGCATCATGTGGCCCTGTAGCTGGGTTGTGAGGAGTCTCCTGGGTGGCGTGGAAGCAGGAAAGCTGGAGAGGCCCTTCAGAGCAGTGACGTCTCTGGGTGGTGTTTACAGTGAGCATAGCCATGTGGAAGGGGCATAGCCCATGTGGCCTCCTGCCGGGTTCTGGGTCTCATCATTGCCCTGGGTGGTGAGATGTGCTTCCAGGGAGAGATGCACGGAGCCTCCATGTACTCGCTTCTGGGATGGTCATTGTGAAGTGGCTGCTGTAGTCACTTGCCTAGCACATCTGGCCACCAGGAGGAAGCCAAGACACAGGGGATGTGTAGAGACACATTGCCCCAGGAGCCCTCACCCTCGTCTTGAAAGTTGGAGGTAGCTGTGGTGGAATGGCCTGAGGCTCGGGTGCAGGACTGTTGCTCACAAGGTGTGCACCATGACTGGCTCCTGCTTGGTGTTTCCGTGCTATGCCTTCTCGAGTGCAAAGCCAGGGCACGGGGCCTGTGATGGGAGCAGGCCAGCCCAGCTCTGAAATCACCCGCTTCTGCCATAGCCGGCTTATCAACTACAGGGCAGGAGGATTTCTGGTGTGTGTACAGGATGCCAGTGACCCTTGGTGATGCGGAGACTCTTGTTTCAGGTTCACACATCGTGTAAAGAATCCTTGCTGACCAAGTGCCCACTTGGCCTGTGCAAAGTGTCAGTTATCCCACCCACGGCTCTCAACAGCATCGACTCCGACGGTGGGTACCACACATGCTCATCCTTCTCATGCACTTCCACATGCTTCCTTCTCCACAGGCTTTCTCCTCTCCAGCTCTAGACTTGGTTATCTTGGTGAGATGTCAGAAAGAGGTTAGGCACAACCGGGGGGGGGCGCTGGAGGAGTTGCACAGAGTGGCACACGGTGCCCTGATTCTACGGCATTGCCATTAGATGGGCCTGAGACCGGAGCCTGGCGCTTGACGTGGATGTGATGCTGTTGAGTGGAACTCATTTGGTACAGTAACATGTCGTACAGGGTTGTAGCCTGGGAGCAGCAGGGTACACCACCGAGGTTCGTGTAAGTGCAGATACTCTACGTGGTATTTGCGCGGCAATGCAGCCACCTCACAAGGCCTCTTCTCAAGACATATTCCTATTTTTAAGTGACCGTAATTGTAAGTTACAAGCTTAAAGGAAAGTCCCTTTCCAGCTCCCAGAAGGTCCTGGGCTTAGGGTCTTTGATGGCCCATTACACCAGCAGACTGTAGAATCCAGATTCTGGCTATTTCCGTGTCCAGAGAACATGATAAAATGTCTCTAGAGTCAAACCTGAATCTAGTACGTGCTTGCCATGTGAACCTGAGCAAATCCTCAAACCCTGCCAAGCCCCAGGTTCCCCACTTATAAAATGGGCCGCAAATTTACAGAATGGGGGTGCGGGGATCATTAAATGGAACTTGGCATAAAGGAAGTTCCTCAAGTTTATGGAACAGGGGTGTGGGGATCATTAAATGGGGCTTGGTATAAAGGAAGTGCCTCAAGTTTACAGAATAGGGGTGCGGGGATTGTTGGCACATGGTGCCCTGATTCTATGGCATTGCCATTAGATGGGCCTGAGACCCGAGCATGGCGCTTGACATGGAGGTGATGCTGTTGAGTGGAACCCAGGTCTGGGGGCTTCTCCATATGAGCCATTGAAGCTATGTTCCATCTCTGCCCAGCACACACTGGCATACTGGCTTGCAGCTGCTCTCATGTCTGGCTGGAACATGGTGCCACCTGTTGACAAGTACTGGTGGAAGAGGGGATGTGGGGTACATGGATCAGAGCAGATCAAGAGAAGAAGACAGCAGCAAGGTGGCACTTGGACACCTTGTGAATGTGAGATCGATGGATGGGGCTCCCGGCTCACACGTGGGGAGCAGCTGTGGGGAACTGTTTGCTGAGCTCTTGCTGACTTAGGTGTGCTTGTGTCAGGTGTACGTCTTTTGCGGGGTCTGCTGCTGCTGATTCCATCAGTGGTGCCCCCAGTGCCTCCCGGGGCCTGTAGATTTTCTTCTGTCCTGTTCGTTCTTGCATCCAGGGTTCTGGAAGGCCAGCTGTCCTCCGTCTTGCACAAGCCCACTACTGGTCTTCGTCAATTCAAAAAGTGGGGACAACCAAGGTGTGAAGTTCCTCAGAAGATTCAAACAGCTGCTGAACCCTGCCCAGGTCTTTGACCTCATGAACGGAGGCCCACACCTCGGGTAGGAAGCTTGTAAAACATATCTTTCTTGGAGTTTTAAAAATTGTGTAAATGGTATGTGCTTGTTAAAAAAAAGATCAAAGACACAAAGTTTTAGATAGGAAAGAAAAGTTGAACTGCTTCCTCCCCAAACTGCACTTGCAGAGGTGCCCACTCTTAATAGAGGTGCATGGCCTTCCAACTTTGAACACAGCGTGTGCGTGCACACACGTACATACGCCTATGTGCACACACCCATGCACGTGCATCTTTTGAGCCAGTCAGGATTCTTCTTTACCTGCTGTTGTGCAAATGCCTTCTGCATGTGTCTGCTTACGACGTTGTAAGTGTATTTTCTTCTTTTAAAATTTTCTACCTACCTACCTACCTACCTACCTGCCTGCCTGCCTGCCTGCCTGCCTGCCTGCGGTGTATTTTTCTGGCATGGCTCATTCTAACAGCTGCCTGGTGTTGAGGAAAAAGCTGCCCTCCAGCGAGGCCAGGAGGGAGTGTTTGCATGTTGGGGGGCATAGGAGGCTGCTCGGCATGCAGGTGCCGTAAAGCAGGAACATGCATGGGTGTTGTTGGGGCAGAGTGATTCCACTGTCCTCGGCAGCATGGGATTAGACGGTTCCTCTGCTTGCTGGAGAGCCAATGTGTGTTCTTTGTAGTTTTGTACTTTTCATAAGTTTGCTTCCATAAATGTTGCCATTTGAACGAATTCCTTCTTCCTTTGGAGGCATCAGTTCCAGGCTGGAGCTCAAAGAGGGCTTGCTAGCACTTCCGGGAGATTGTCCAGGACACTCCTAGTGGGAAGTGCCTGTAGAACCTGTGATTTGGCCTGTATTTTTCTGGGAGAGTCGGTGGGGAGCTGTGTATTTAGGAGTCAGGGGATGCTCTGATATGAACCGTGGCCAGCTCCTGGGTTTCCTTGGTGTATGCGTGAGGGTAGGAGAAACAAGCTGCTCATCGCTGGTTCTCTGGGTGTCTTCTGTGTTGCTGGTCCCCACTCAGAACCACGCACCGTTGGAGAGCAGTCACAGATGGCAGCACTCCAGCCTGCTTCCACAAAGGCCGCACTCCCATGTTTTCTGCAGAGAGACTTCTTATCTGAATGGTGGGGGATTGCATTCACTAGTAGGCTGATGAAGAAATTATTTTAATTTTAATTTTATTATTTTTTGAGACAGGGTCTTTCTGGTTGCCCAGGCTGAGTGTGCTGGTGTAATCCTGGCTCACTGCAAACGAGGGGCAACCTCATAAAGCAAGGCTCATGACCAGGCTCGTGTTTTAGAAAGATCTTCCAGGAACTCATGTGGGAAACTTTCGAGAAGGGTATTGAGGTGACTGCAAGGCTTCTGTGGGACTCTGTGAGAGTGCAGTGGTGACCTGAGCTGGATGGCTTGGTGGGAGTGGAGGAGAGGCTGCCGGGAGGGGCTGGGCCGGCCACAGGGTAAGAGGAGGCAGGTCTGGCCTCTGGACTGGGTTGGTGGTGGTGCTGCCATTCTCCGAGGAGGGATGTTTCCTGTTGGCAGTGCCCTAGGATACCAGAGTGGTATGTTCTGGGGGACAGGTGCAACTGTCGGTGCTCAGGAGTGGCCTGGTGGCTGTCGATCCAGAGTTACCTGTGTGGTCCCTGATGCAAACTGTGGATGTGGTCACACAGGAAGAGGGCGAGGAGTGAGCAGAAGTGGCAGTGGTGTCCTGATTGGGGATGCTGCTGGACAGGGGCAGGGTGACGGGGAGCTCAGGAAGGAAACCGAGGAGTTAGGAGAGGGGGTCATGGGTCTCATTGCTGGAGGACTGAGTGGGTGCAGGCATACGTGCTGCAGCGGGGACATGTAGCCTGCAGGCAGGTCTGGCAGCCCAGGGCTCCAGGGTGACCAGAACAAGGGCCAGGGTGGAAGCCAGACTGCAGGGCTGAGGAGTGCCAAGGCTGAGGGTGCAGGGTGATGCAGGCAGCCCAGAGGGCATGCTGGGAAGGCCAGCAGGGGCCACTCGTGGATGTGGCAGGTGAAGGACAGTGATGCAGGGTGGGCTCATGTGGGCAGGGGCTATGGAAGGCTGTCCCTGGCAGGGGATGGTGCGTTGGCCCACCACTGAGCCTGCAGTATCTGCAGAGGGTGCAGTGGTTCGTCACAGCTGGGTGGTCTCTTTGCTGGGGGGGGCCATGGCCCTGGTTGGAGCAGTTGGCTAGACCCCAGAGCTGCTATTGTCCCCTTGACAAAGTGGACCCTGACTGGAGGGACGCTCGCCTCTGGTATAGGTCAGCTGTGAGGAGCACAGGTGGGCCGCCTTGGCCACATACTGACAAGCCTGTCATTTGTCCTGTGGAATGGACATCATTTCATGGCCTTTCTCTTTTCTCTGCAGCTTACGGTTGTTCCAGAAGTTTGACACATTCCGGATTCTGGTTTGTGGCGGGGACGGAAGTGTTGGCTGGGTCCTCTCCGAAATCGACAGCCTCAACCTTCATAAACAGGTACCTGGACATGAGGGAGCCAGCCAGGAGCAGAGAGGGTGCTGAGGTTAGAGGGAAGTCCTGCAGTCTCAGCTTCTGTTCATCTCGGAGCACCTATATTCAGGCAGAGACCGTTGGTGGTTTTGGAGAGTGTGCAGTTTGGTGGCCAGTGCAGAGAGGGGAGAGCATGGGCCACCCCCAGCATTGTGGAGGCCCAGGGGCTCTGGCCATGATGTATGAGGGGGACCTGAAGGGAGCTACAGAAAGAATTGCCCATAAAGGACCCACGGTGGGGAGCAGGGCCGGGTGGGGCTGTTGCTTTACTGGGTGGTTTTTGGCTTGTGAGGAGGGGACAGCATTATACTTGAATTCCTCAAGTTAGAGTCATGGTTCATTGGACTTAGTTTTTTGTATTAAAATGAAAATAGATTTTTCTGGTTGTATATGAAAATGTCCATATGTTCATTTAATTTCTACACCCAGCCGTGGCCTCCTCAGGTGATCAGCCACTGTCAACATTTTGCTGTCTCTGACCTCTCTTGATCACAGTACATATAATGCACAGTGCAGTTATAATTTAAACGGCTAGTCTGTTACTGCTTTTTAAAAATCACTAATTAAGATGTTGCAGACACCTGGTGCCTGTGTGTAAGTAGGTAACCTTGTGTGGTTTTCCACTGGACAGAGCCAGGAGCCCTGGGCCCACTCACCTCCCTCGTGTGTGAGTGCTCAGGTCACTCCCCAGTGTTGTTCTCTCTGAGTGCACCCAGGCTTAATATTGAACTGTGCTGACAAGCTGCCTTTCCTCAAGACTGTGCCAGCTTCCATGCCTGCAAATGCTGCTTAAAGCTGTCCTTTCCTGGGCACCATCCAAGGTGTCCATCTTTTTAGTTTTTGTCCAACTAAGTAGACCAAAAAATTTCTGATCTTTATTTCTTTAATTCCTGGGGAAGTCGAACGTCTCCTCAGTTGGTTAGGAAGTTTTAAATAAATCACCTGTTCATATATTTTTGCCTCATTTTCTCTTTGAGTAGTCACTGTTTTTTCCTTTAAACATGGATGTCTGAAGATTGTTGTTGTATTAACTTCTTAGCTGTCATTGCAGATTTGTTCCCCGGTTTGTCATTTGTCGGTTCAACATCCTTTTTGGGGGTGGTGGTCTTTTCTTTTGTGATTTTTGCACTTCTGTCATATTCGAAGCTGCCTACACCCACCCCAAGGTTAGGAAGATTTGCACCTGTATTTTCTTATGTTTGTTGTGGTCCCATTAAAAAAAAAAATCAGTCTTCTATGTGACATGGAGGTATTTTTCAGTGATTCTGCGGTCCCTATAGCCCTGCCTACTTGGTAGTCTTTCCAGTTGGGTGGACTTTGACAGCCAGGGCCTTGTGGCCAGCAGCTCAGGAGGGGAAGTGGTGCCCCCTGGTGGTGGGTTAGCACAGATTACTCTAAATTTTCATTTTGTGGATGATTTGCCAGTTCACTGTTGGTAGTTAGGAAGACAGTGGAACCTTGTGGCTGATTTGATGCGTTCAGGTCAGCACACACTTCTCTCTCTTTGCTTCTCTTGGACACCTGATGTGGTGGCCATGCCCTCACTGGGACCCTGCCACCTGGGGGTGTCTTACCTTCTTGGCTGCTACCATTCTGTGGTGGCCTCTCCCTCTTTACCCTCCCCTTAATGCTGTGTCCTCAGAGCCTTGCTGGGGCCTCTCTTCCTTCACTCTTGGAATGCTCAGTGACTTGCAGGGCTGTCATCTCTCTCCTGGGGGTGCCTCAGTTGATAGCTGAGCCCTGGGCCTCTCTGCCCTGCTAGTGCCTCGAGCTTCCAACACTGCACGCACTCAGCCCCTGCCTCGCATTCCTTTCCTTGGAGTCTGAAAACATCCATCTAGACGCCTGAGCTAGGAAACCGGACAGTTGTTCTTGGTTCCTCCGGTCTCTTCCTCCTGCCTGTTTCTCACTCATTGTGGGCTCAGTCTTGCCACCCACGGTACCCTGGCCTTTGTCTGTCAGCAGCTCACCTAGGCGACTTTTCCTGGGGCAGTTCTGCCTGTGCACCCCCAAGCCCGACAATTCTTGGAAGAGTCCAGACCTTTAAGAGAGTTTGTCCCAGCGTGGCCTCCTGCTTGCCCCTCCGCCTGTCTGCCTCCTGGTTCCTCGCTGCTACCTCTTCACTGAGCTCTGCCTTGCCCTCCCAGTGTTGTGCTTCCCTGCCTGGGGCACCCCCCATGCGTATTCCGTGCTGTCCTCCTTTTCCTGTAAGGCTCCAGGAAGCCCTTGCGGAGGCCTCAGCCCCTCTGGGCGCGCTTCAGCGCTGGGTTCTCTCCATCCTCGCCTGCTCGCTCCTGCCTCTCCCCTGCCAGATGTTCCCTTGGTGAGGCAGGACCTTCCCTGGCATTTGCTGTCCCCACAGGCGATAGGGCCTTAAGCATGGCCCCTTGCACCTGGTGAGCAGAGGGCTGTACAGTGCTGTAGGCTGGACCAGGGCAGGGTTCCTGCCTCAAGGACAGTAACGCTTCCCACAAACTGCACCACAGGCCTTCATGGCCCTGGTTACTGCACTGTCAGAGTTGAAGGCTGGTGAGCTCTGGGCAGCGGGTGTTTCGAGAGGCCCCCTAAGCAGTGAAATGGTGCAGTGGGAGCTCTGGGATGGGACTCCAGGTGGAGGGGTGAGGCCTGAGCAATGCATGAGGTCTCTGGAATGGCAGGCAGGTGGGTGGCGCTGAGCTCTGGCTCTGGCAAGGCTCCAGGGAGGCCTCCAGACTGAGGATGGTCCTGGCACTTTTTTTGATAGGATTTAGAGAAGTGACACTAGTGGTGTTTTTGGAAGAAGAGTTTGTCATTAGTGAGTGAGGTACTGTAATGGATGGAGGGATGGTGGTGAGGCATTAGAGTGAGTCCTTGGGGCTGTGGTCATGTTGGTGACAATGGGAAGCGGGGATTTGGGAGACAGATCAGAGAGGGTGTGAGGGACTCACCATCAAGATGTGGTGACAGCTTGGTCAGTCACCACCATCTCTTGAGAGTTGGGGCTGTGGCTCATCCATTTCTCCCAGAAGCAGCATCTTACCTCAAGGGCAGCCACATTCCTGTCACATTGTCAAGGAACATGCCATCTGTCCCTCCAGTGGGCTCTGCCTATAATGTGCACGCTGCATGGGTTTAGGGCACATCTCCATGTTGCTGATGTAACCCTCATGGTGGGTGACAGGGAGGGCGGTGGGCTGGGAGGCGGCCCCACCCCTAGTGTTTGCCTGCACATCTTCCCCGTGTTTTCTTAGTGTCAGCTGGGAGTTCTGCCGCTCGGCACGGGGAACGACCTGGCCCGAGTGCTGGGCTGGGGCTCGGCCTGCGATGATGACACCCAGCTCCCCCAGATCTTGGAGAAGTTGGAGAGAGCCAGCACCAAGATGCTGGACAGGTGAGTGGGGACGTGTTCCAGTGCCGTGTGAGGGGACTTTGAGAGATGGGTGTTAACCTAGGGTCTGCGGAAAACAGGGGCCCTCTGAAATCATTTGTAAAGATATGACCTGAGCATATATTCTGATAGTCTTTGATATTTGGTCAGATTATGACAAGGATAGAAACAAAACAGGCTAAGAACCAGCCATGCCCTAGAATGATCAGGTCTTCCCAGGAGGCCATACCTGAGTGTGTCAGGGCCATGGAGCAGGTGGCTGTGCGGTGTTTGGCTGCTTCAGCCCAGGATATGATACCCATTGGAAGAGTGCTCCTTGTCGCTTGTTTGAACGGTTGCATTTTCTCATATTCTGTTCCCAGAAGTTGTTTTGGGAAATCCTCTAGTGCCTAAAGCCACTGTGACACCTTCCCTGAGTGAGGTACTGCTGTTCTGAGTGACACACACAGCACCTGTGGTACATGGGGTGCTGATGAGATGCCTCCTGGCCTTCCTAGGTGCTCCCAGAAGCCTGGGGTTCTGATGACAGATGTGGTTTTGCAGTGACCCGCCATTTCAGGCCGCCCCTGTGTGCCTTGGGGCATGTGAAGTGCTCATCTCACTGGGCCAGCGGGCTGCTGGCGGAGCCATTTGCAGCTCTCTTGGGGAGAGTAAATCCATTTCTCTCAGAAGCAGCATCTTATCTCAAGGGCAGCCATTTATGGGTACCCTCTCCTCTTTCATGGAGCTGTATTGCTCTTTTAGTTATGGAGTGCAAACATTTGTTCTCAGCCAAGTTGCAGGACAGAGTCAAGACCAAGGGCTTAAAAATGAAGTCAGAAACTGTATAAAGATCAAGGCTGCCAGCCATGACAGGGGAGGACGCAGGGTCTGCCTTGGGGGCCTGCACGTCTTGCCGCCTGTGCAGCTGACCTTGTGTGTGCAGGTGGAGCGTCATGGCGTATGAGGCCAAGCTCCCCCGGCAGGCCTCCTCCTCCACCGTCACCGAAGACTTCAGCGAGGATTCCGAGGTATTGCTGGCCTGTTCGTCACACCCCGCTCACGTGCTGATGTGATCTGACCTGTCCTGTCAGCAGTTTGCATCGCCTCCCTTGCAGAGCCGCCTCCCCCTTGGTGACGGGGTGTCACAGTCAGGCCTGCGGAGGTGCAGGGTGAACCCAAGCCTGAGAGGATTCTCACTCCCCTTGGCAGGAGCCTCTTGGGCTTTTGTGACCTTCTAGGGGCTTTTGTGACAACTAGGGTTGTCACAGGCTCTGCGGCAGAGAGGCCGGCGGTCCTCCTAATGGCCTTCCCACCCTGTCTGTACATCTCCTCAGCTGCTCAGTGAGCCCCACATGGTGTTTGCCCGTTCCCTTCCCTGCCGCAGTGCCCGCATACCTGGAATGCCCCAGCCCACTCTGCCACAGCTTTCCTGCAGCCCTGGCTCCCGCCCGGTCTCACCCCTCTGTGGTGTCCATAGCTGCCCTTCGCTCAGCCTCCTCTAGTCCAGCTGGGAGTTCTTTTTATTGGGTGATTGTTTCTGTTTTGTTTAAGGCTCCTACAAGTTCCCTCAGAGAACAGACTTTGTCTTCTTTAGTTAGTATTTTGTGCTGGTGCAGTGCTGGGTGGGGTAGTAGAGAGAGGTGAACTTTATCAGGGCCTAGGGCAACGGTCAGCAAGCAAGGCCTGCAGGCCAGATGTGCCTGGGCCCACGGCCTTGCCAGCCAAGAATGGTTTGTACATTTTTTATTTTTCCTTTTTTTTTTAATTTTGAGAGGAAAAGTGTGGGGGGGAAGCCCAAAATAACTCACTGTCTGGCCGGTAGTGAAGTTCACTGACCCTGGGGCTGGGTCCTAAAAACAGCAGGGATCCCAAAGGGACAGGACTCCCCTTCTGACAGGCAGACCAGATGGTTGGGGGAAGAGTGCGTGTCCAGATGGGGTTCACAGCCAGGCGGAAACAGCCACTGCTGTGAAGGAACCCAAACCTGGAGCTGGCCCGCCAGCGCACTGCTGTCAGGATGAGCAGAGGTCAGGGCAGGGGCCCCTAGCACAGGCTGTGCTGGGATCGCAGACTCAAGAAGATTCATCTTTAAGCTTTTAAAGTCTTTGACCTAGCACTAGGTGAGCCCAGAGTAGTGTTGGAAGTGAGTCGAGGCTTGGCCGGGTCAGACAGTGTCGGTTAGGGAGACTCGTCTTTCCCAGCCTGTGCTGTCAAGGGACTGGGTGACAGAGATACTGGGACTGCCATGGAGCTTGCTGTCACAGAGACCAACGGCGCCTGCATTTGGGGTGATTGCAGGTGCAGCAGATTCTCTTCTATGAAGACTCCGTTGCAGCCCACCTTTCTAAAATCCTCACCTCGGACCAGCACTCAGTGGTCATCTCCTCGGCTAAGTGAGTGCCCGGCGGCCCTGGAAGAGGCATGGGGCCCTGGCTCCAGCCTGGAGCTGCCTCTCTAGAAGGATCTTTCTGTTTCTCTCCCCACAGAGTGCTCTGTGAGACAGTGAAGGACTTTGTGGCCCGAGTGGGGAAGGCCTATGAGAAGACGACCGAGAGCTCAGAGGAGTCAGAGGTCATGGCCAAGAAGGTCTGTCCCTGGGCCCTGGGTGGGGGGGCACCGAGGCAGCGAGAAGCTCCCTCTGTCACTGGGAGAGAGTCGTGACTGCAGCTTGTCCAGGTTCTTGGTGTTTTAAATAAAGAATTAGACAAAACACACAGCAAAGCAAGGAAAGAGTGAAGCAACAAAAGAACGAAAGCGGTGATTTATTGAAAACGAAAGTACACTTCACAGTGTGGGAACAGACCTGAGCAGCAGCTCAGGGACCCAGCTACAGAATCTTCTTTGATCCCAAGATCCCCTGGAAGTTTCCCGTCGGCCACATCATGTTCACCTCGTGTAAATGAAGTCATAGCCCACAGTCTGAGTGGTTGCAGAAAGCAGCCAACCAGAGTCCGAGGTGACATTACAAAGGCCACGCTCCTACAAAGTTGCACTTCTATGCAGGCTGAGACTCAGCCGCTGTCAGTCTGGTGGGTTGTGGACAGCTGGTTTCCCACCTGCCAGGTGGAGAAGGGGGCGGGGTTTGCAAAGGGAATAGCCTCTGGTCCTTTTGTTAGCTTAGGCATGGGGAGTTAGGATTTTCCTTTCGGTCGAGTTCTCGGAGGTCTGGGTGAAATGGCCTCGGGTTCCCTGCCTCCATACCTGCTCTCCTGCCTCAGCTCTGCATACCACTTCCTTTCCCTGTCTAGTGCTCTGTCCTGAAAGAGAAGCTGGATTCCCTTCTCAAGACCTTGGATGATGAGTCCCAGGCCTCGTCCTCTCTGCCCAATCCACCCCCAACCATTGCTGAGGAGGCTGAAGATGGAGATGGGTCAGGCAGCATCTGTGGCTCCACTGGGGACCGCCTGGTGGCATCGGCCTGCCCAGCCCGGCCACAGATATTCCGGCCTCGAGAACAGCTCATGCTGAGAGCAAACAGTCTGAAGAAAGCGATTCGTCAGATCATAGAACACACAGAAAAAGGTGACTGGTATTTTGAAGACGAGGGGGCTTTCCTCAGGCCAGCACCTGCACACCTGAGTGTACATGTGCCACTCCTCCCGCCTGCTGCCCTCCAGCCTGTGTCAGGCTCCTCTGCATCCCTTGCCTTCTGAGGGTTCCGGTCCTCCCAGCCTGTTAGCAGGGATGCCCTGCCCTGGTGCCAGGACCAGGGGAAGGCAGGTGGGGGTGGGGGTTCGGGGTCTAAACCTTTAGCCAGAGGATGTTTGAGGAAGAGCAGGCTGTGGGCAAGGAGGAGACCTCCACCCAGCCTGACAGCACTGTTGGCTTTGAACCCACTTGCTCAGCCACACACATTCTTCTTGCACAGCTGTTGATGAGCAGAATGCCCAGACCCAGGAGCAGGAGGGCTTCGTCCTGGGCCTCTCTGAGTCGGAAGAGAAGATGGACCACCGAGTGTGCCCACCACTGTCCCACAGCGAGAGCTTTGGGGTCCCCAGGGGGAGGAGCCAGCGCAAAGGTACCCGTGGTTCCGCCTCCCTCTGCGCACCACAGTGTGCTTGATTTTGGTGGAACGTAGTGGGCTTGCTAGGGGAGGTTGAGGGCACGCGCCCTCATAGCTTTCTCGTAGCTGCTTTGGCCACTTGGCATAAAAATTCACAGCCCGAGGCCTGTTTCTGTGGATCTCCTGTGTGCCCTTGAGGTGTGTGCAGTCGGCCTTCGTGGACACCAGTAGAATCCACAAGACCCCCTTTGTCAGGGCAAGAACCCCCTCCCTGAGGAGCACTTGGCATCTTGCTTGGCTTCCTCAGAACCACACTGGGCCCCAGAGCTGCTCGAAAGGGGCTGTGTCTGGCAGGGGGAAGATGGGTGGGTGAGGGTGGGCCTTCTTTGTCCTTGCCCCTCCTGGAACAGCCCACAGTGCAGGACCTGGTGGAAGGTGCCCCCTAAGCCTGGTGGGTTGCTGGGAGGCCCGTGGTCAGAACTGACCCACGGCCACTGCATGGCCACCACTCAGAGCTCTGCTGTGTGTGTGCTCTGCCTCCCATAGCCCTGACTGGCGTCACCCCTCCCTCCAGTGCTGCCACCTGTGGCCTGTGTCACCTTCTCCATGAGCCCAAACCCTCCGAGCATCCTGTGCACCCACTCAGTCCTCCGTCCCCTCTTTGTCCCACACACTTCACACAGCTGCCTGTGGTTTGCAGCCCTCCCTCCTCAGCCCTCCCACCTGCTTCTGTCATTCAGGATCCCCAGGTATTTCAGCAGTCTCTATTTCAGACAGCTCTGAGGTTTTCTGCTCTGTTCTTACAGTGTTGAAATCCCCGTGTGAGAAGTTGATCAGCAAAGGAAGTCTGCCCCTGGGCAGTTCAGCTTCCCTTCCACCCCAGCCGGGAAGCCGGGATAGCCTGCCTGCACTCAACACCAAGATCCTGTACCCAAGTGAGTGGTGGCCAGGAGGACCAGTGGGGGCCTTAGTGCAACGCCGGGCCTGTTACTGTGCTGGGCGCTGGGCCCGTCAAACTGAAAGAGATGGGGTCGCTGCCCTTGGAGAGTTTACAGGTCCTGAGAAAGCTAGGTGGAATTTAAGCATTTACACGACTGTATGAAAGGTGCTTTTTTTTTTTTTTCTTTTCTTTAAACAAGAGCCAGGTAGTAGCCAAATAACCACCCAAGGAGCCCAGGAAGACATCATTGAGAAGGTGATGCTTGAGTCGGGTTTTGAAGAACAAAGGAATTATCTGAGTGGAAAAGGGTGTGGCCTGCCTGATGATGGAACCGGAGGGATGGTCCCCTGCTTCTAGTGTGGTCATAGGAGGTGCAGGGAGGGTGAGGTCCTGGCTGCCTGGAGCGTTCCTTGGTGTTCACTTCTTATAAAGGCAACCTTATAAAGCCGTGAGCCTCAACTCTCAAGGATCATTTTTGTTTGAGTGGCTTACATTGAATGAGAACATGAGAACTCACTTTATAAGCCTTTTTCTTTTTTTTTTTAAGAGGGTCTCTCTCTATTGCCCAGCCTGGAGTGCAATGGTGTAGTCATGGCACACTGCAGCCTTGACGTCCTGGGCTCAAGTGATCCTCCCCCCTCAGCCTCCTAAATAGCGGTGACCACAGGCACATACCACCACATCTGGCTTTATAAGCCATTTTTTAAGGTATTTCGTAGGTGTTTCTGCCACCCAATATGGCTTTTTTGTGCCTGTGATTTTTGACTTAAGACTTGCCAAATTTGGACGTGGTTATACATAATTTTAGAGACATTTAATTAGAATAATGTTCTGCAGAATACCAGTCCACCAGCTTCAGAGACACGAGTTTCTCTTAGTCTGCAGCTCCTGACTGGCACCACCTCTTTCTTGTATCTCCTTTACAGATGTCCGGGCTGGAATGTCTGGTTCCTTACCTGGTGGCTCAGTCATCAGTCGCCTGTTAATTAACGCTGATCCCTTTAACTCCGAACCAGAAACCCTGTGAGTATGAGGGATAAACCAAGTGGGCATATTGTTACATGGATGCTAGTGCATTGAAAATAGGTCTCAGAATTAACTAGAGAAATTGGCGAGCGGTTGCCTAGCTGGTGATAGCTGATGAGGAAGGCTGAGAAGTTGTGGAGATTCCGCTTCAGGAGTGGAGCTGGGAACCACTACCGCACGTCTGCTGCAGGGCAGAGCACATGCCTCCCAGCTCCTTCCCAGGTCCCACGGCATTTGCTCCGCATCCCTTGAACCTGCAAGCTCTTCCGAGGCTTTCCCAGGCTCGGCTGCTCCCGCTGTGAGTTGTCCTTGTGCTGCTCTTCGTGGTCACTCTCCCATGACCTTGGCCGGACCTTGCTGACCTCTGCTTACAGCTTGCCATCTTCCTCTTGCCATCTCTTACCCTGCTTTCCTCTAATGGCTGCTCTCCTTGTTGGTGATGCAGAACCCTAGACTCCAGGCTGGAGGGTCCTCTCTGTGCCTCCCTCGTGTCTTGGAGCACCCTAGGGAGACACGGGCTTGTACTGAGGCTTGTAAGGACTGCTGTGTGCCCGTGTGCTGACACTGCTACTCCTTTGGGGACGAGGCCTTCTTCCTCTGCTGGCCTGTAAGGCAATGATGACATTGATACAGCAGCATAATGGAGTCTTCCTAGGTGTTAGGGACCATTGTGGAGATAAGTGGTGTTTTGAAAACCTGTTTTTCTAGAGTCATCTTTCTGCTGGCTGCTTGCAGGTTCTAGGTGGCTGGTGGCAGTTGGTTAAATGTGGCAAGCCATTTTTCTGGCGTGTTCAGGGACAGTGACAGCAAGAAGTGTGTGGTTCACAGAGGCTCTGAGTTTGGGAAAGTGGACCCCTAAACTCCAGGTGCTGGCCTGGTGCGACACTTGTGTGTCCCTCTTCCTGGCCTGGTCTGCTTCTCCCCTGGGCCTGCCTGGGGCTCCAGTCCTCAGCCTTCCTGAGGCTGTTTTCCTCCGGGAGGCCAGAGCTGCAGTCTTAGTGAGCACTGCCTCTCGGGCCCCTTAACTAGGTATCTCCTTTGTCTACTTCATCTGAGATGATGGAACTTCACTTCTGTTGCTAAGCTGGGTGGTCTCATCTCTTCACCTGGGGAGACAAAGCTGTCTTTCTGCCGTGGTATGTGCGGGGCCATATTGTGTGGGCCCCATTGCGGATGGGCCTGAGCAGGCCTCTGCAGCCCGTCGTCTCCCACTGCCCCAGCCACTGCCACCCATCCTGCTTCAGGCCCCCAAGCCCAGTCTCTCAGCCGCCTTCCCACATTTCTGTGCCCTGTTTCTCTCCGTTGGATCTTTCTTTTCCCAGGACCTATAAATGCTGGCCAGGCACGTGGTCTTCTGCCTGTTAAACAGTTTGTCCCAGAGTTTTGCTGTGGCTCAGCTGTCGAGCATTTGAATTAGATGGATCGTAAATACACTGACACGGGCTGGTGGTTCTCAAATCCAGTGGCACTGGCTCAGTAGGCTAAAGTGTGTCAGAATTCTGGCCCGAGCAATGTTCCCAAGCCCATCCACCTATTGAGTCTCTTTGGGAACTTCCAGAACATTCTCTTCTGGCTGCAGGCTCTGGGTGGAGAAACATGGGCTTCCTTCACACACCTGCCCTGGGGGAGGGAACCCTAGTGTGATCCTGGGGCTGGGGTGGGTGAAGGCCAGGCAGGGGTTTCCCAGCAGCTGGGGGAGCTGCAGGGGCAGGACTTCCAGCTGGGGGAGGACAAGAAACTTGAATGAGATGAGCCTCTTCTCGTCTGTGGCACACGGGGAAAGAGAAGCCTTATTCTCTTGGGGCTAGGATGGATGTTTTCAAGTCATTTTTCTTTTTAGTTTGGCCACTGCTTTGTGATTAGGGATGTTCAAAAAACGTTTTGAGATCCAGAGTTGAAATGTGTGAGTTTCTGTGCCATAAACATACTTCAGGTTTGGTGCCGCTGGTGGAGTGTCAGAAGGGCAGCCACTGTGAGGAGCGGTCCAGCAGGCTCCGCCCGTGGTTCAGCCTAGAGCTTCCATGTGACCGGCAGATGCAGAACTGCCAGGCCGTGTGGGATTGAACTGAAAACACGTCCACACTAGGAGCTGTATACAAATGTTCCTAAGTGATAACCAGAACGTGAACATCCCTATGTCCAGCTGCAGATGAACAGGTCAATAAATGTGGGTTAGCCATGCGACGGAGTATTATTTGGTAATAAAAATGAAGTACTGACATATGTCACAACATGGATGAACTTTGGAAGAGAAAGGAGCCAGACACAGAGCCCACAACTGCAGAGCCCATTTCTGTGAACTGCCCAGAAGAGACACCTCCATGGAGGTGGAAAGTAGATGAGTGGCTGCCAGGGATGGGGAGGGCAGTAGCTGCTGGTGGCAGGGGCACAGACTTCCACCTCAGGGGTTGAAATGCTCTAAAATCGATTATCTAGTGATGGTTAAGTGACTCTCTGAATATGCTAAACGTTATCAAATTGTGTATTTTACATTGGTAGATTTATCTGGTATATGAATTATATCTTAATAAACCTCTTATCAGAAAAAAAAGAAAAAGGTATCATATTTGCCCTAAGGAAGAGAAATTCGGAGAGGTTGGGAGTCTGAATGAAATAAGACCGGTAAGCAGGGCTGTGGTATTTGACTTAAAACTCCCATTGGCAGAGAGTACTATACAGAGAAGTGTGTCATGAACAACTATTTTGGCATTGGCCTGGATGCGAAGATATCCCTGGACTTCAACAACAAACGCGACGAGCACCCGGAGAAGTGCAGGTGGGTAACAGGCTGGAAGCGCGTCTGTCCGTTGTGTCTTTGTGGCTTCTCCCTCTAGACAGTAGCAGATTTCTGGAGTCAGCAGGTTAAAGAAGGTGCAGAATGCTAAGGCGGAGGGCAGAAATGGAGCCCGATCGCCTTGTCAGAAGCAGAGGTGCTTTCAGAGGTGGGAGGGAAGCAGGTAACAGTCCAGGGAGCCAACCTGGAGGAGGGGTCTACTTCTCAGGCTGGCCAGGTCAAGGGAAATTTGACATCAGAAAACCAGTAATGGTGGTCATTGTGATGGCTGCGTCTCCCAATGAGAGCCCTAAATCTGTGATGCTGCAGAAAAGCAGCAGGTGACGTAGAGTATGCCAAGAAGCTGTGGCACCTGCAGTGTGAGTGCCCAGCATTGTTTGTGGGTGGGTCTGTGAGTTCATCGCCATCCCAGCTGGCCCTCCCCTACCACACCTGAGCCTGCCCACAAGGCCCTTGATTCTGATGTCCCCCAAGGGGCATCTCTGGGGATGCTCAGTTTTTTCCCCTAAAATTACCAGATGCTCCCTCCTGGCCTGAAGAGAGGACAGAGAAAAATGAGAAGGGTCCCTCTTTTCAAGCTTCTCTTCCTGGGCTGAAGTGGAATTTCCTCTTGTCTGTGAAACACGAGAAGTGAGGGAGAAATGTCTCCCTCCCCAGCCCACAGTAATAATCTGAGAGACTGTTTGGCTTTGATGTGATTAGAACTAGGGAGGGGGAGAAATGGGTGTGGGGGGTTGGCAGTCTTTGTTGACCCAGAAGCTGGGAGACCTTTGCTGGAGTCTTCCTCTGCTGAATCAGGATCGACTTGAATGAACCAAGCCACATCCTCCTCACGGTGTCACTGCCACCTTGAGGGGAGCTATGCTGACACCTGAGGGGCCAGCTTTAGTTGTTGCTCACATTATATGCAGTTGGAAATTTCTAGGAAAACAAAAGCATCACAACTCAAAAACCAGTTGAACTCTGAGGCTCTTCCATGCAGGATAGTGGCTCGATGGCACCAGGGACATATCCCTGTACAGCACAGGATGGTGAAGTCAGATCATTAAAAAATCCCTATTGGTCCAAAAATCACTGGGAAAAGTATGAAAATACACACACTTCAGCAGGGTAAAATAAGCTGAGGAACAAGGGCATGCATAATACATTTCTAGAGCCCTGGAACCCTGGTTAAACCTCCCTTGCGTAGTATTGAGAGCTTTGAAAAGTTCTCCTGAGAAAAACCCCATTTCTACAAAGGTCATTGGAAACTTCTGTAGAAGTCATTGGAAACGTGGGTTGAAGTGGGTATGAAGGGGCTCCTCGTGTGTCATTTACAGAGCTCAGGCATGGGAAGAGGGGTGCAGTGAAGGGATTGAGCTGATGAGCTGCGGTAGAGTCGTGCCCAGCTAAGGATGGCCATGTCTGCAGAGAGCGTGTGGCAGCTGAGGGAAGTGTTGCTGGCGCAGGGTCAAGTGGACCAAGTAGGTTGCGAAACCGTAAACAAGTGAACGCAACTGGAAATTAATACCCAGGGAAGACTGCGGAAGTACACGGTGGCACCTGGCGTTTGCCATCAGCACGTGTGGAGGGCACGCACAGTGCTGGATGATGCATAGAGGGTTATGAGGAGTGTCGTCTTCTTGGTGCTTTTCTATATTTTCAAAATTTTCTATGGTAAGCATAGTTTTTTAGCTAGAAAAAAATCAGGATGTGTAGTTTTATAGGATTCTATAATGTTTTAACTTTACCTTTTAGGGTTGGATTACTTTCTTGGCAAAATGTTACTATTTAGCCAGATTTCTTACAGGTAAACGTATCTCTTTATGTGTATCTGCAAAAACAAAAATTTGTCCTCAGACGTTCCGCTGTAAATAGTTGCTGAATTTGGCAGATTTGTGGGTCAGATGCCATTCCTAGCTTTCACAGAAATGACTCTGGTTAAGTGTACAGAGAAGGCTCAGACCCATGGCAAGTCTTTGCTTCTGTTTCTAGGAGCCGAACCAAGAACATGATGTGGTATGGAGTTCTTGGAACCAAAGAGCTGCTGCACAGAACCTACAAGAACCTGGAGCAAAAGGTCCTGCTGGAGGTGAGTGGAAAGGTCCTTGTCACTTGCAGGCCGGCCCCCATCCATCAGAGGACTGCATTTCGGTTCTCCTCTTGGCCCTTTCTTCCACACACGGGGACTCGCTTGAGGATGCCCTGGCTGCGGCTATGCTCCTGAGCCCCTGGCAGTGGGAAGTTGGTGAAGAAAGGAGCAGCTGACACATGCCTTTCTCTTTTCTTTTGTTCTGCCTCTCTGCTGCTCAGTGTGACGGGCGACCCATCCCCCTCCCCAGTCTTCAGGGAATTGCTGTCCTTAACATCCCCAGCTATGCCGGAGGAACCAACTTCTGGGGTGGCACCAAGGAGGATGATGTATGTATGGGGGTGTGGGGTGGGTGGGCCTGAGCTCAGCGGGGAGGAGCTGTCTGAGGGCAGTGAGGTGTTTCTGTGGATGGGGTGGAGCCAGCCCTTCCCTTGTGCCGGCAGTGGGGCTGCCATGGAGAGTAAGATAGACAGTGTCCCCCACCCAGCTCATCATCTAGAGGGCTGAACAGAGCAGAGGTATCAGTGAGGGTGGTCAGTGAGCGTCTGTGGTCAGCAGATGTGGTCAGAGGGTGTGATGTGGGAGGAAGGTCAGGGAAGGCGTCTGAGAGGCCAAGACCTGAAGGATGACTTGGAGTTGGCCGAGTTAGGTGGGCTAGGAGAGGGCGAGGCTGTTCCAGGCAGAGAGAATTGCATAGGTGAAGGCTCAGAGGCAAGACAGGACAGGCGCCTGGAGGACGTGGGAGATGTGCCCTGACTGCAGTGGGCAGTGGGGCCGTGGAGAGACAGGAGAGGCCTGCAGGGCCTGGGTCAGGTCAGGCCGTGTGAGCCAGGGGAAGAAGGTGGAATTTGTGTTAAGAACTGTGGGAAGGTGTTGATAGGTGTAAAACAGGGAATGGCTTTCTTTGTACATAATAGCGAATAGAAGTGTTCAGCGCTCCCTGCACACGTGGGCTGCTCCAGTCCTGGCGCTCTGCAGTGTTAACTCACTCAGGCCTTCTGATGTCCCGGGAGGAGCGTGGTGTGTTTCCCCATTTTACACATGAGGAAATGGAAGAGAGAGATTCAGTAACTTTGCTGAGGTCAGAGCTGGGATTTGGTCCCAGGCAGCTGGTTTCAGGGTCTGCAATGTGAAGCCCCTCAGGAGTGCAGTTACCTGGTAACTTCCTGTCAGCAGCCTAAGGGAGGGGCTGGCCCCGAGAGGGAGGGAGCCAGGGGAGGGGCGGCCTGTGTGCGGGGCTGTGCTGGGCGGTGGTCAGCTCTAACTTGGCCCTTGCAGACTTTCGCAGCTCCGTCATTCGATGACAAGATTCTGGAGGTGGTTGCCGTTTTCGGCAGCATGCAGATGGCCGTCTCTCGAGTCATCAGGCTGCAGCATCACCGGATCGCCCAGGTAGTGGCCATGGTCCTGGGAGGTCTGGCTGAGTCCCCAGCCAGGGGTGTGCTAAATTCCCAGGCAGCGCATGGAGCCTGGGAGGGTGGGTGCTTTCCAGGACCACGTGGCTGCCATCATGTCCTGTTTGGGACAGCTTGTGGCCCTGCTTCCTGGGCGAGAGCCTTTCCTCATGCTGTGCTTGACAGTTAAATTCTCAAGGTAATTTTTTTTTTTTTAAGGCAGTGTCTCACTCTGTTTCCTAGGCTGGTGCAGTGGCGCCATCTTGGCTCACTGCAACCTCTGTCTCCCTAGCTCAAGTGATTCTCTTGCTTCAGCCTCCTAAGTAGCTGGAACTACAGGCACCTGCCACCATGCCCAGCTAATTTTTTTATTTTTAGTAGAGATGGAGTTTCCCCATGTTGGCCAGGCTGGTCTGGAACTCATGACCTCAAATGTTCCACCCACCTTGGCCTCCCAAAGTGCTGGGATTACAGGCGTGAGCCACTTCACCTCACCTGGCCAAGATAACTCTTTCAAAACATATTTCCCACTTGAGCCCCAGCCTTGCCTGTCCCCTCTCAGGTGGGATGAGATAGAGCAGACCAGGCTGAACTCTGCCCATGTCTGCAACTGTCAAAGCCGCAGCTGGAGGTGGGGATGGAGCTGATCGCTCTGGCATGGGGTGAGGAGGGAATTCCAACTGGGGCTTTTGATCATGCTTCTGGAGGCCCAGTGGGGAGGGGCTGGGGGGCCCCCATGGCTTATTTCTGACAGCAGTGATGGACTGGGGGCAGTCTGTGAAGATGGGGTGGGACTCTGTGCCCAGGCACAGGCACTGGGGTGGCAGAGGGTGCTGATGATACCCACTGGCTGAACCCCAGCCTGGGACTGTCTGGTCTCTTCCTGTACTCTGTCCACCCCTGGCTGTAGGCTGCTTGAAGTTCACAGTTTTCCCTCTGGCAATGTTAGTTGTTGAAAAGGAGGAACAGGGCATTGCCGTCCACTGTGTGGAGATGCATTCATCTGCTCTTTTCTGGGGGTGTTTCCACGTGGCAGGGGCCCAGCTGCTGCTGGGAACTACGATACCCCCTCCCCTGGGTTCTGATGCCTTTATGTCAGCACCAGGGTCTCCTGCACTGACTGCTTGGTGGATGAGGGGATGGGGCAGGATGGGGTGGGATAGTGGGAGAACAGACCTTTGGCTCAGCGAGGCTACAGCAGAAGGCTAGCTGCAGGAGTAGCATCGTTCCAGAGGTGGAGGTGGGGTGTCCTGCAAGGCAGGGACCGTGTGTGGAGTAGGAAGGTCATGGTGGTGCCTAGCACTTTAAAACCCCTGGGGGTTTTGGCTCAGCACGAGTAATGGCTCTGATGTCTGCTCAGTGTCGCACGGTGAAGATCTCCATCCTTGGGGATGAGGGCGTGCCTGTGCAGGTGGACGGAGAGGCCTGGGTCCAGCCGCCAGGGTACATTCGGATTGTTCACAAGAACCGGGCACAGACGCTGACCAGAGACAGGGTAAGAGTGGCTGCCTGCAGTGCCTGGGCGGGGTCAGGGCTCACCTGCAGGCTCTCATGTGCACTGTTAAAAGAAGAGCTGGAGCTTTCCATGTTTTGTTCTAGGATTTTTTTTAAGACACAAAGATGAAGCTAATAGGGCAGTAATTTCTAGGACCATCTCCTACCCGTAATGTTAAAAAGAAAGAAGTCCCCACCTGTCCCTCTCCTAGCTGTGCGCACGTTGGTATCCCAGTAGTGTCCGTCACAGTTTGACACATGCATGCAGAGCAGCAGGTGTCATCTGGGCTCTCGGGTCCGCAGGCATTTGAGAACACCCTGAAGTCCTGGGAAGACAAGCAGAAGTGCGAGCTGCCCCGCCCTCCATCCTGTTCCCTGCACCCGGAGATGCTGTCCGAGGAGGAGGCCACCCAGATGGACCAGTTTGGGCAGGCCGCGGGGGTCCTCATTCACAGGTGGGCTCCCACCCCTCAGCGTTGTGCATGAGCATCCCCTGGGGTTCCCAGGGCTGTGCTCCTCCAGGGCAACCTGGGCCATTACTTAAAAAAAAAAACAAGACAATTACTTAGGGACATTTCGCCTGCTTCCAGAAATGCCCCTGGAGCCACTGTGTCACTCAGTGTGGTCAGCACTGTCCGCCATCCCTACTCCTCGCCTGCCCCGTGTGGCTGCCTCCGCCTGCCAGCCTGTGAGCCCCTCCAGCTGGCACCCATGGTTCTTCAGTGGTGCGGGGCCTTCCTGCCTGCATTCTCCTCCCTGTGGCCACATGCTGGCTAGTACCCTGGTGTCCTTTTCTTGTTTGCCTTGGGCTCCCTCCTCTCCTGCCTGTGACTGGGGCACTCGTGGGTTCTGGGTCCGGCATGCTGTATGCCCTTCCAGGCAGCCTGCCTGTGGCCCTGGCATGCAGATGGATCATCTCTGCCAGTCTCTGGCTCCCGTTGAGCAGGTAGTCACTATCCCAGTCTGCCAGCATTCATCTCTCCTCACTTCCATACTGGCTGTGGTCCTTCCCGGTCCTGCATTTTCTGCGCTGGGAGTTGGTGCCGCTGCGGCCCCCAGCCTCATCTCTCCCCCACCTCACCCAGATCAATGGTGGGGCTGGAGGACTTCACTTCAGCTTACTCCTTGCTGTGCAATGGGCTTGGTGGCCTCCCTTGGAAGGCCATTCCCCTGTCCTCTCAAAGTCCATGGTGGCCCCAGTGGCCTCCGTGGAAGGTGAACTTGCACAGCACCGTGGAGAGCTGCTGGCAGCAGCCTGTTTCCACAGGGTCAGGACAGGTTGGCCCCACAGCCTCTGCCTGCACTGCTCCTATAGTCACCGCCCCCCCCCCACCTGCCTGAGCCATGTCTCAGCCTCTCTGAGACCCGGTGTGACTTGTGCTGTGACTGTCTTCCCCTTAAGGGCTGCTGCCTGGGGTCTGGCTCAGAGCCCATCACTGCACCAGGATTGTCGTCTTCAGACAGTCATTTTGTCCTCAGGGATAGACCGGCCAGTTACAGGTTCCAGCAAGGCCGTGGGCACCTGGGGATCGTGCCTTACTGCAGCAGTCTCTGCAGTAGGCCTGTGCACCCTGCCGCTTCTGGCCGTTTTGCAGGTTGTAAGCCTCATTTTGTACATTTCTTTTCCTGGAAAAACTTGGATTTTGACATCAGATTTCTTGTGTGAGCCCTCCCATTTGCTCTTGGTTGGCTTGTGCCCAGGCTTGTGATTGAACGGTCGCTGGGCTGAGCCATGATTCCTGTCCTCCTGCTGGGCCGCCCTCCACATCGGCCCTCCGGGAGATGAGTGTTGTGAAAGGCCACCCTTCCATTTGGCCTGACATCTGCCTGTGCTTCTCTTCTCTCTAGCATCCGAGAAATAGCTCAGTCTCACCGAGACATGGAGCAGGAACTTGCCCACGCCGTCAATGCCAGCTCCAAGTCCATGGACCGTGTGTATGGCAAGCCCAGAACCACAGAGGTAGCGATTCTGGCCTTTCAGTGCTGGCGTCTCCTCGGCGTCTGCAGCACTCGGGCCTCCCTGTGAACATTTGCCTTGATTTCTCCTAGGGGCTGAATTGCAGCTTTGTCCTGGAAATGGTGAATAACTTCAGAGCTCTACGCAGTGAGACGGAGCTGCTGCTGGCTGGGAAGATGGCCCTGGTAAGCTGGTGCCCCGGGGACAGCAGGGCTTGGGCGGCGTGTGAAGCGACTGCTGTTGCCAGGTTTCTGGGCAGAGGGCAGCACACTTTAGTCCAGAGTTCCCGGCCTTAAGGAAGGGAACTGCGAGGTCATCTGGTCTGCCCTGAGCTGGGGCGCACCCCTGCTGGTAGCCCCTCAGTCAAGCCCTCTGGAGCGTGCGAGACCTGCTTGCAGCAGGAACATGTCGAAGACAGAAGATGCATTTTGGCCGTAGAAGACTGTAGTGCACCCGGCCACACGCTTAGGCACCTTCCTCCTTCAGCCCTGCAAGCCGGTGTTACGTCGGCGCTGGAGTAGCCGGGGGCTGTTCCTCAACCTTAGAGGCTGGAACAGGGAGCGGCCTCAGGCAGCCTGGCCCCTACGGCTTTCAGACAGGAGGAGGAGGGACTTGCTGAAGATGAGGCAGCCAGAGAGCCAGCCAGGAGTGGGCTCCCGGCCCTCGACGCCTCACCACACACACACAGCTCCTCACCACACACATCTCCTCACCACAGACACAACTCACCACACACACACACACACACACAACTCATCACACACATCTCCTCACCCCACACACACAATTCCTCACCACACACACACACAACTCACCACACACATCTCCTCACTCCACACACACACATCTCCTCACCACACACACACACAACTCCTCATCACACACATCTCACCACAGACACAACTAACCACACACATCTCCTGACCACACACACACAACTCCTCACCACACACACACAACTCATCACACACACACCCCTCCTCACCACACACACACAACCCCTCACCACACACACAATCTCCTCACCACACACACACACACAACTCCTCATCACACACACACAACTCTTCACCACACACACAGACACTCCTCACCACACAGACACAACTCATCACACACACACACACACACACATCTCCTCACCACACACACACAACTCCTCACCACACACACACGTCTCCTCACCACACACACACACAGACACACACATCTCACCACACACATCGCCTCACTCCACACACGTGCTCAGTCCACGGATACCGTCACCCCACTCCTCTCCTCGTCCCGCACGCCGTCTCGTCCTGTGCATCTCCTCACTGCACACCACCTGCTGCCTCCTGAAAGGCATGGCCATTGACCTTTCTGCCTGCGGCACTTCCACTGCTTGGTGAAGGTGAATGGTCCTGTTCCCCTTGCTCACAGAGGAACATAGGCGGGTCAAGTGTCAGCCCTGTTCCGTATGAATTCGTCAGTGACAGATGGACAGTGTTATTTTCTCACCAGTGCTACTTAGAAAGTGAGGTTCTGGGTTTGGTTCTTTCTCCGGTTCTCTGGGACTTTGTTTCTGGAAACTGAGCTCCCTGAGAGGAGCTAAGCCCCGGGGGACCCTCCTGCTTATCAGCCCTTCCCTCCATTCTTCCCTCCTTCCCCTCCCTCCCTCCCTCTGCCTGGAGCAGCAGCTGGATCCGCCTCAGAAGGAGCAGCTGGGGAGTGCTCTTGCCGAGATGGACCGGCAGCTCAGGAGGCTGGCGGACACCCCCTGGCTCTGCCAGCCCGCAGAGCCTGGTGACGAAGAGGTATATGGGTCATGGGGTTTGGCTGGCCCCCTGGGCTTGTTGGCAGTCGCCTGCAATTCCTGTGTTCCGTGTGGCCCATGTGGCTCTGGGATCAAGATGGGGTCGCTCTGGCAGCCCCTGAGGGTCCTTCCCCAGACTTCTCTGTGAAAATGCCCTTCAGTGCAGGGAGCGATGGCAGGTAGGTAGGAGTTTGGGGCTGGGATTGAGAGTGCCTCCTGAGGCCCAGGCACAGGTCTTCCTCGGAAACAACTGCACAGCTGCCTGGATCGCAGCTAGAAGCCCAGCCCCACAGCTGCCCCGAGGGCAGGGATGCATCACTGGAGAAATGGCAGCTTTTTGGGCTCTTGCTGTGAACAGGGCACAGCTGGCACATGCCACTCCCCACTCACACGCTCCTCCTGTGTGAACAGAAAGACTCCAGCTCGTTGCAGGTCTGGGAGGGACCCAGGACCCAGGGCATAGCAGACCCTGGGGTATAGTCACATTCTTCTGCAGGGAGTGCTGGAACCCTCGAGAGGGCAGTCTCTAGACAGCTACACACCCCAGAGGCCTCTTGGCCTCCCCCTTCAGCAATAAAACAGAAAGGGTCAGGAGGAGAGCTCATTCTGGGCAGTATTGCAGAAGGCAGGTCACTGCAAGACTTGACACCTGGGCATCACTGCCCAGCAGGGTTTGTGAAACCTTTGGGCAGCAGTAGGGTGAGGGCACAGAGATGGGCAGCTGCAGGATAGCACCCTCTTTCCATGGCCCCAAGGCATTTTTTGACACATGCACGCCCTTCATGGAAAATTTACTCAGAGGCCCTCCAGCGGATGGACAAAAGTCAGCCACTTCACAGCGAGGGCACTTGGGTATAAAAGGACGGACAGGCTTCTCAAAATCCATTAAATAATTCATTGTAAAGGTGATAAAACATTTTACCTAAAATAACAAAATACTAATATATAACAATCCAACAGATGTGACAGTGACATAGTCTTGTAATATCAGATTAAATTAAGGCCAGTAAAGTGTGCAGTGAGGTGAGAGGCTGGGAAGAGGCCATGGCCAGGGAGGAAATGTTAAATTCCTCCTTTTACGGTGAAAGACGGTTATAAACAACATTCTTGACTTTGATACTTAGAGAAATGTACAGTCAATAATATTTTTAGGGTCAAGAGTGGTGGCTTGTACCTGTAATCCCAACACTTTGGTAGGCCAAGATGGGAGGATCACTTTAGGAGTTCAAGACCAGCCTTGGCAACATAGCGAGACCCTGTCTCTATTTTTAAAAATATATATATGTAAGGCTGGGCATGGTGGCTCACGCCTGTAGTTCCGGCACTTCGGGAGGCTGAGGCAGGTGGATCACAAGGTCAGGAGATTGAGACCATCCTGGCCAACATGGTGAAACCCATCTATACTAAAAGTACAAAAATTAGCTGGCTGTGATGGTGCACACCTGTAATCTCAGCTACTTGGGAGGCTGACTCAGGAGAATTGCCTGAACCAAAGAGTTGGATATTGCAGTGAGCCGAGATC